TTGCACGGCGGATCCCAGAATTCAGCGGGGAGCTGCGGCTTTGGGGCAGGGGGCAAGGGCGGGCGCGACGGGGGCAATGCACGAGGGAGGAAGCATCGAGTTAGGGGAGACACTGCGTTGAGATCCCGAGAATTAGGGAGGAGTTGATGCTTTCGGGCGGGGCGGGCGGCCCAGTTGCGCGCGCGCGCGGCAGGGCGCGGCGCGGCGGGCCGGCGGGGGCGAGGGGGTCGCGATGGGTGAGTACTGCGCGAGCGGGTAAATCAAATCAGAAGAGACTGTGCAGGAGGATCTGGAGAAGTCAGGAAGAGTCGCGGCGCCGGGGTCGGGGGCAAGGGGGGCGGGGCGACGGGGGCGCTGCGCGAGGGGGGAAATACTAGGGGAGACATTGTATTGCTATCCCGAGAATATAGGAGAGGTTGCTTTGGGGTGGGGCGGGTGGCTAGGCTGTCTGCGCGCGCGGCGGCGGCGTCGGCGGCGCGCGCGGCGGGGCGGGGCGGAGCGGGCGCGTGGGGGGGGCGGGGCGCGCGAGGGTGGGATTGCACGAGCAGATGCATCCATGTAGGAGAGACTGCGCGCGGGGGGGATCCTACAAGTCAGCGGGGATCCGCGGCTTCGTCGCAGGGGGCGCGAGCGGGCGCGAGGGGGCAGTGCGCGGGGGAAGAAACATCGGGTTCGGAGAGACTCTGCATTGAGACCCCGAGAAGGAAGGAGGATTTGTGGCTTTGGGGCGCGGCGGGCGGCCCGGCCGCGCGCGCGCCCGCTGCGGGGCGGGGCGCGGCGGGGGGGCGGGGGCGGCTTGGGGGCGCGATGGAGGAATATGGCGTGACCTCGAGCATCCACTATTACAAGTATTGGGAACAGCGATTGATTCGAACCGCGCCAGAATCTCTACCGCTAAGATGTTTTTGTGCGTGTGTGTGTGTGTGTGTGTGTGTGTGGCAAAAATCGCACTAAAGAAATCGCACCCTGGGATAAAGGGGATTTTTGATTTTAGTCATCTTATTTCGCGCCGAGCCCAAGACGCGAACGGCGGGCTGCCCCATGAACTTCGTCATGCGTGCCCTAGAAAACTCAGGCGCGTTCGGAGCCACCCCTCTGCGCTGTCCAAACGTCGCAGCGGACCCATCCAGCGTCTTGATCTCGGTAATTCCAGCGCTTGGATGGCTGCCCTCCAGACGTTTAATGCAACTGGGGTTTAATGCGACGCACGTTGTCATTCGCCGTGGCCAGAGCAGTGCAATTTTGAGCAAAACGCAAAGAATGCCCCAGCATCGCGTCGTTAGCAAATGGGAAATTTCCTGCGAGGGCAGCGCAGCAGCGCGACAGACTCGACGTGCAGAAATACATAGAAGCCTCCACGGGCTTGGTCCTGTCGCAGAACTGATCCGCAAGTTCCATGCCCCACGGAGTTAAATGCCGAACCACGCCAGCGCTACACCTGAGTGTTGGATGCTTGTTGGATTTTCCGTTTACAGCTGCAGTGCTCAAGTGAGGAAGTTTGCCCGGCGCGCGCGCCGTTCGGAGGTTGTCTACCGTAGAACCCCTGCATCAAAAGGCGCCTCTGTCGCATTTGCTCTTTCTGCGCGCCGCCTGGGACTTTCCTCTCGACGACGCAATGCCAAATCAGAGCCCATACAATCGGCAGATGCACCTAAATCCGCGCAGCGCGGCCAACCAAACGTCAAAACCCGCGCGCTGGCAAACGGAACCATCAGCAAGGGGCGCACGCGATGTCCAGAACGTGGGATTGTAACCAAGTGTTCTTGCCGTGATCTGCGGCCCGCGCGCCAGGGCGCGTCGTGGCCGATCTCGGTAGAGACCTGAGGGCATCGAAAGCTTCGTTTCCCCGTTCTCCCTCTCCTCTTCCGCCCCCATCCTCATCTTGCCCATCCTCCTCGATCCGCGCCCTCCTCTTCACCTCTTTTGGCTGATCTTCCCCCCCCCCCCTTCCCCTCGGCGCGCCGATCCTCCTCCTCCTCATCTCCCTCCCCCTCGTCGTACTCACCTGCTCTTCAGACCTTCCATTGTATGCCGCCTGCTTTCTTCCCCTCCCCGTCTCTTCCGTCGCGCGTCCCCTTCGAGCTTCCTCCGAATCCTCCTTGCGTTCCTCGTCCTTGTCCCCATCCGGTTCCTCCTTGTCGTCATTATTGTACACGTCGTCCTCCTTCCCATTCCCCTGCTCTTCCACCCGTTTTTCCTGCTCACCCTGCCGGCCCCCCTTCCATTTGTCCCCCCGACCTTTCTCTCAGTCATCTTATCCCGCCGCTCATTCAGTCGACTCGCGTTGCTATTAGGGCCGTTTTACCCTCGTCGTTGATGCTGCTGGTTATCACCCGCCTCTTCCGTTCTCCCCCTCCCCTTTCTTCCTCCAGCTGCGCTTCCGCGCTCCGCCTCCACTCGTCCAGCTCGCCCCGCGCGCGCTGCTGATGGCCACCCCCCGCTTTTCGCGCGAACGCTCCCTAACAATAGGGGGTGGCTTTTGCAACATACACGCGCGTGGCGGCGGGATGCAACATTTTCGCGCCCAAATCTCCTTGCAGCGCAGGGGCGGGGGGCGGGGCGGGGGGCGGGGGAGGCATAGTTGGGCGCGGTTATTTGCGTTTCCCTGTGACCTCGGGCAACTGGATCTTGCGCTGGAAACAGCACTCCGCGTCTTGCCACCCTGGCGGCTCCAGCACCTCCTTGGGCATCTTCCAGTCGCCTTTGATCTGGCATAGAACACCCTCGCGAGGGAGTCGCCCTCTCTCGCTGCGCTTTTTGGCCCTCCACTTGCCGCCCGGATGGCGAGCCATCGTGTCTGCGCGACGGCCGCGTTTTGGATGCGAGGTGCGCGAAGGATCAGCGGACTATTTCGAACATATAATTCAGGGTGGTTGGGGACAATTGGTTCTTCAGCAAGCATGCGATAGGCGCGCGGAGGTTTTTGTATCGCTCCTCTAAACCAGGCAGTAGAAGCGAAGCAATGTCCGCGGTCACGTTGCGGTCCCAATTGCGCGGCACACCATCGTGCCAGATGCCACAGGTGATTGTGTCGGAGTCGCCGAGAGACGAAATTGGATTTTCGAGGTGCGCCAGCGAGACGGGTCCTAACCCAGACGCGCCAATCAAAACATCTGCGTGGCAGAAGAACACCAAACGATCCAATTTTCCGTGGGGCAGCACGACATTTATTTTCTGAAGCTCCTCCGCCTGCGTTTTACTGTTCCACACTCGCACGTCGCAGTCGTACAAAGGTGGCCAGCCGTTTTTTCGGAAGACTTGTCGAAAGAATCGTGGCGCGTTTCCCATGTATTTCTCTGGAGGCGTTAAATCAGCAAGGCCGCCGGCCCCCGTGGCAAGGCCACCAGGGCTCTGGCTCTTCCCCGCCCTCCCGGGTGCCGAGCCCACGGCAGGGCCGCGGGGGTCCCGCGGTTCCACACCTCCTCGGGGGAGACAACGTTGGCATACGCGCGACCCGCCGCCGCCTGGAGCCCGTCTGCGCATTGGCTCCCTGGTCTTTGCCCGAAGGCCCCCCGTGCTTCTTCTGCAGTGGCGCGCCGATGGGCTCCCCAGGGCGGCGCGCCATTGATGCTGCTCTTGCTCCCCCGCCTGCGGTCTTGGACAAGGGAGCGACGATTCCTTGACAAGGAGCCGCCGCCAGTCTCTGCGGCGCTGCCTCGCTCCTGGGCTCAGAAACGGAAGAATTACCTCGATGTTTCGTTGATTTTCCCTCGATGTCCCTTTTTCCTTTGATTTTCCCTTCCATTTTTGGGCCTTCCCCTTTTGGGCCGCTCCTGGGCCCAGAGGAGGACAAGTTCATCATGTCTCTACCCTTCCCTCGATTCTCCCTTTTCGGGCCTCCTGGGCGGCCCTCGTCGCCACCACTGGGTTCGCCTCGAAATCCTGGTCAGAACGCGCCCGGGGAGAGGTCCGGGGAGTAGCAGTGTCACTACCTTTTTGGTTTCCCTGAGGGCATGCGGCGCGGGCGGATGCAGGCAGGACCAGGGCCGGATGCAGGCAGGACCAGGACCAGGCAGGCAGTCGGGCCTGTCCCCCTACAGGGGGATTTTCGACGAAACATGAAAAATATTCAAGAATATTCCCAACATATGCCCAAACAGATTAAAACATAGTCCCCTGACTACTTTTGCATGTTTCTGAAGATCCCTCCTGTAGAGGGACGGGCCCGACGGAAGCCAAGGCCTTCTGGTCCACGCGACAGCGGGTCTGCGGTAGGCTCGCGTCGCGTCGACCGGCGGCGACCCCGCCGCCGGCGTTCCACGTCGGACGCCGCCTGCGACCCCGAAGCGGCCGATGTGGAACGATTTGGCGTTCGGGGACGGCCGATCGTTCGAGGCGGAGCGACCTCCGCGGTGTCATAGGAACCAGCGCCGAAGTCCACGCGACAAGGGAGGAGGGGGGATGGAGGAGGGAGGCGGGAGGAGGGAGGAAGGAAGAGGGGAAGGGAGGAGGGAGGAAGGAAGAGTGGAAGGGAGGAGGGAGGGGGAGGAGGGGGAGGAGGGGGAGGAGGAGGAGCCTGCCGTATGCGCCTGCACCGGTCCTGGCCAGGTCGAGCCTGAGCCCAGGGGATCGGTGCAGGCGTGCCGTCGGCGCCCTCCTGGGCCGTGTCTCTCTGGGAGATTCCGTGCCCGGGGCAGGAGCGCGCGATCCTCTCGCCGTTCCGGCGGGCGTGGTCGCCATTGTGCGGGGGAGCACGCTCTGCTGCAGCATCGTGGATGTGCGGTCGATCTGCTCTGGTCCTCCTCGCCGTCCCCCTCCGGGTCAGGTCGGCGGCGAGCGAGGGGGGGAAGTGAGGAGGAGATTGCCTTTCTGAGAAGGCGGCGGGACTTCTCAGAAGCCGTCGCGCCTTCTGAGAAGCCTTCTGTGTCTTCGGGGAAGGCTCAGAAAACTTCTCAGAAGGCCTCTGGACTTCGAGCCTTCTGATAAGGCCTTCTCCTTCTCACTTCCCCCCCTCGCTCGCCGCCGACGAAAGCCTCAGCCATGCTAAAGGCTGCATCCGCAGCCACTTGGGCTCAGGCCTTTTGCTCCAAGCCTGCACCAGTTGGCACAGCGCTGCCCTGCCGCCGCAGTCGCGCCCCGCCGTTGCAGGAGATGGCCCGCCTGGCCTTCGCAGTCGTCGCCCTCCTGCTCGCCAGCCAGGGCTGCGCAGCCGTCGAGGACACGACCACCGTCGAGGAGGAGCGGCGCTGGGAGACCACCGAGAGCCCGGAGGCGACATTAGCTCCAACACCGGCTCCAACGCCAGCGCCTACGCCAATGCCGACGCTGGAACCGACCCCAGCACCAACACGGGCACCAACGCTGACGACGCTCGCGGACATCGCAAAGGCGGAGGACATGCTTGCTTTCCAGCTGATCGCATCGAACTTGTCAAGCATAACGACGACGATCGAGGGAATAGAGATCACAGTCACCAAGGCAAGCGTGAGCGATGCCATCGACGGGCGTATCCCACTGCCAGACGTGAGCGCTGCGACTGGCGTGGAAGTAGGTCTACCCACCTCGCTATTTGACGCCGTTGGAGTTGAGAGCGCGCTGGTCTTGGCCGCGAACCTCCCCGCATCGGCCGTGCCCGGGGGAGCACCAGGCATACAGGTAGAGGGCGCGATCAGCATCACCCTGAAGTCTGTCGAGGACGGTTCGACCCTGTCAGTGACAGGCCTCCCAGATCCGATCTTCATCGACCTGCCGAACGTGAGCGACGGCCTTGCTTGCGCCTATTGGAGAGGCCTTACGGCCGGTGCCGCCGACCCTCAACGACGACGACGAAGCTGACGTGGGTCCAAGTTCTCAGGGATGCTTCTTGGGGCCTCTTCGGAGCGCTCTCGGGTGCCTGTGGGGGGTAATTTTGGGGCCTCTTGGGAGCCTCTTGGTGGCCTGTTGGAAGGCTCCTGGAGGCCTCTTGGGGCTTCCCAGGCGCATCTCGGGGGTTTCTTGGGGGCGTCTTGGGCTTCTTGGCGCTTCCTGGGAGCCTCTCAGGCCGAGGGCTCGAAATGACCGTTCGGGTACCCCGTCTGGGCACTCTTGGAGCCGTCTTGGGGACCTCATGGGCCGTCTTGGTCCTCTTGGGCCGTCTTGGGGCCTTCTTGGGTCGTTTTGGGGCCCTCTCGGAGGCCTCTTGGGCAGTCTTGGGGAGATCTTGGAGGCATTTGGGGCCGTCTTGGAGTGTCGGGAAGCCGAAAATGCAAGAATCCCCAAATCGATCAAAAACTTTCTGGATAATCTAGCATTTTGGCCTCGTGAGGCCATCTTGGGAGGCTCCTTGGGGCGTCCTGGAAACCTTTCGGGCCGTCTGAAGACTATTTTGGCGTCTTGGATTGATAGTTCGGCGATTCGGAGCCTCCTTGCACCACCTTGGGGGCCTCTTGGGGCAGTCTTGGTTCGTCTTGGGGGGTTTTAAGCTTTGGGACCACCCTGGAGGGAGGCAATCTGACCCGGGACCCCCCCGCCCTGGGACCCCCTCCCAGGACGCGACTGTTTTTCCCAACCATCCTGTGGTGTTGGGTCCTCGTTTTGAAGAGACGGTGCCCCGCGTTCCTTCCTTCCTTCCTTCCTCCCGCTGCCTCCTCCCCCCTCCCATCATCATCATCATCATCATCATCATCATCATCATCATCATCATCATCATCATCATCATCATCATCATCATCATCATCATCATCATCGTCGTCATCATCATCATCACCATCATCGTAACCGCCATCACCATGATCATCATCGACATCATCGACGTCATCATCACCACCACCATCATCATCATCATGTTCATCATCATCATCATCATCATCATCATCATCATCATCATCATCATCATCATCATCGTCATCGTCATCACACAATTCGGCGCACGCCTCACACGTTTCGTGGCCCCATAGGGAGCTCCACCGAAGGCCCCAGTGCTGCCGCCCGCATGCGTCCCCCA